TTCCATAGTGGTTGCACCAGTCTGCATTCCCACCAACAATGGAGAAGGCTTCCTTTCTCCCCACAACCTCACCAACATTTGTTATTGTGTGATTTCTTGATAGCAGCCATTCTTGTGGCGTGAGGTGAAATCTCAGTGTTGTTTTCATCTGCATCTCTCAAATGACCAGTGATGTGGAACATTTTTTCATATATTTACTTGCTGCTTTTACTTCTTTGTCTGAGAAATGTTCATTTCAGATGCCCATTTTTGAATTGGGCCTTTATATTAGGGGGGCTGAATGCTTTGAGTTCTTTATATATTTTAGATAATAGTCCTTTGTCTGAGCAGCAGCTGGTAAAAGTTTTTTCCCACATTGTAGGTTGTCTCTTAGTTCTATTGATGGTTTCTTTTGCGGTGCAGAAACTTTTTAGTAAGATGAGATCCCAGTTGTTGCTTCCTTCTGCTAGTTCCCGTGCTACTGAGGATTTGTTCATAAAGTCTATTCCTATGCCAATGCCTTCAGGAGTTCTGCCTAACTTATCTTCCAGCAAGTTTAGAGTTTCTGTTTTAATATTTAATCCACTTGGATTTTAATTTAGTGCATGGTGAAAGATAAGGGTCTTGTTTTAATCTTCAACAGGTTGAGGTACAGTTTTTCCAACACCATTTATTAAAGAGGCTATCTTGCCTCCAGTGGGGAGATAGCTGAGTACATCTGGAGTTGTTTTTGTATCTTCCAGTCTATTCCACTCATCCTCAGGTCTGTTTCTTTGCCAGTACCATGCTGTTTTTATCACAGTGACTTTGTAGTATAGTTTCAAATTGGGAATTGTTATACCTGCTGCCATGTGTCTGTTGCCTAGGATGACTTTTGCTATTCTAGGTCTCTTCTGGTTCCAAATGAATTTTTGGATTCTTGTTTTTAATTCTGTGAAATACAGTGTTGGAATTTCAATTGGCATTGCATTGAAACTGCATAGCAGTTTTGGTAGTATGGCCATTTTCACTATGTTGATTCTTCCTACCCAGGATTAGGGGATATCTTTCCATTTTCTTATATCCTCTATGATCTCTTTTTTAAGAGTGCTGTAGTTTTCAGTGTAGAGTTCTTTTGATTCTTTGGTTAGATTGATTCCTAGATACTTCATTTTTTTGGATGCTATTGTGAAAGGAATTTTTTCCCTAATTTCTCTCTCAGTGAGTCTGTTATTTCTGTACAAGAAGGCTATTAATTTTGGGGTGTTGACCTTATATCCTGCTACTCTGCTAAAAGTGTCAATTAAGTTTAGAAGTCTTTTGGTGGAGTTTTTTGGATCTTCAATGTAGAGTATTATATCATTAGCAAATAATAACAGTTTAACTTCTTCCTTTCCTGTCTTTGTTGCTTTAATCTCTTTCTCTTGTCTAATTGCTGTGGCTAATGTTTCCAGAACTATATCAAAGAAGAGTGGTGATAGTGGGCATCCTTGTCTTGTTCCTGATTTTAACATTAAGGTTTTCACTTTTTGGCCATTTAATATGATGTTGGCTGTTGTTTTTTCATAGATAGCCTTTATTAAATTGAGATCTAGACCATCTATTCCAAGTTTTTGCAGTTTTTTTTTTATCATGAATGGGTGTTGAATTTTGTCAAATGCTTTTTCTGCATCTGTCGAGAGGATCACATGGTTTTTGTCCTTGACTTTGTTAATATACTGTATTACATTTGTTTACTTACGTATGTTGAACCATCCTTGCATCATGGAATAAATCTGACTTGATCAGGATGTATGATCTTCTTGATGATCCTCTGTATTTTGTTTGCTCTTATCTTATTAAGGATTTTTGCATCTGTATTCATTAAGGAGATTGGCCTGTAGTTCTCTTTTTTAGTTGCATCTTTCCCTGGTTTGGGAATCAAAGTGATACTTGCTTCCAGCAATGAATTTGGAATTACTGCTTCCCTTTCGATTTCATTGAAAAGTTTGAAGAGTAATGGCAGTAGTTCTTCTCTAATGTCTTATAAAATTCAGCAGTGAATCCATCAGGACCTGGGCTTTTCTTTGTTGGTAAATTTTTAATTACATTTTCAATTTCACTGATTGTAATTGGGGTGTTTAAAATGTTTTTATCCTCTTTGTTCAACTTTGGTAACTCATAAGTATCTAGAAATCTGTCCATTTCTTCTGTGTCTTCCATTTTATTTCAGTACAGGTTCTCAAAGTAGGTATTAATGATCCTTTGGATTTCTGTTAGATCTGTTGTGACTTTACCTTTTTCGTTTCTAATTGCATGGATCTGAGCCTTTGATTTCTTTTTTTTTTTTATAAGGTTAGCTAAGATTTTATGAATCTTATTTATTGTTTCAAAAAACCAACTCTTTGATTCATTTATTTTTATATCATTTCCTTAGTTTCCATTGCACTGATTCCTGCTCTAATCTTTATAATTTCCTCTCTTGTTCGAGCTTTGGGTTTTTCTTGCTCTTGTTTTTCTAGGAGTCTAAGATTCATCATTAAGTTGTTTATTTGAGCTTGCTCTTGTTTTCCTAGTGTGGGCATTCAGTGCAATGAATTTTCCATGTAGAACTGCTTTCATTGTGTCCAAAAGATTCCTGTATGTTGTATTGGCATTTTCATCTTTAATTTTCTCTGTGATCCATTGATTGTTCAGGAGAGTGTTGTTCAATTTCCATGTGTTTTTAAAGTTCCTACAGTTTCTTATGCTATTTATCTCCAGCTTAATTGCACTGTGATCTGATAATACACAGGGAATAACTTTGATTCTTTTGCATTTACTCAAACCTGTTCTATGAGCTAGTATGTGGTCTATCTTGGAGAATGACCCATGTGCAGCCGAAAAAAATGTATATTCTGATTTTGTGGGGTGGAACACTCTGTAGATTGTGGAATACTCTATAGATGTCTAATAAGTCCATGCATTCAAAAGCTTGGTTCAGTTCTAGTATTTCATTGTTGATTTTTTTGCCTAGATGATCTGTCTATTTTTGATAGTGGGGTATTTGGGTCCCCCACTACAATTGTATTAGTGCTTATTTTGTTTTTCATGTTACTTAATATTTGTTTTATATAGTTGGGGGCATTAATATTTGATGTATATATGTTTATGATTGTCATCTCTCCCTCTTGAATTGTTCCCTTTGCAAGGATGTAGTGGCCTTCTTTGTCTCTCTTAATCAGTGTTGGTTTGAACTTTGTCTGCGAATAAGATTGTTACCCCTGCTTTTTTCTGGGCTTCTGTCGCATGGAGAATTGTTTTCCATCCTTTCACTTTCAGTCTATGGGTTTCTTTTTGCACTAGGTGGCTAACTTAATTATTGATAGATAAGTTGTTTTTTATTTTATAAAAGGAGGCCTGAAATTATTTTATATATCAAAGATGTTGACTTGTGTCCTAGTTATATTTTATCATATCTGAAGAACTCTTTCACTTTTCTCACATAAGTTACAAGAAGATAAAAAATTGAGTATTTGTTGAGTCAAATGAGGATTAAGGTAGTGGGAAGTATGTGACATAGCCCTTCTTTTTATATTATTAGCAAGGTTTCTGCCTGAGTTTTCTCCAGTTCTATCAAGAGACCAACACTTGTCACCTGAGACTGCCTTGACTCTGAAAATAATAGCATTTACTTATCTAACTTTGAGATATACACAGTTAGCTAATACAGAAAATTTTATCAGTAGAATAACATGGTATCCTTGTTTAGATATTAACTAAGTAAAAATCTTCACCTAGAACATTTTGGCATTATTAAATTACACAGACATTCAGTAAGGTATTTTGGGTGTCTTAGTGAATCATGTAAGAGGTGTAATAATGCTCCATAGTGTATTATTAGTGAGTGGAGTCACACTACCAAATCCATTTTGATCTATTTTTTCTGGATTCATTTCCTTCCCTGTTTCTGTTATTATAATGGGAAGCCACAATGCTACATTCCAAGATGTAAAATGTTTTCAGAGTCCAATAATTTGGATAGTTACAGTTTTTTGCTAATACTTTGGTATTGTGAATATTACCCAGATATTTACTGAGGTCTGATTCTGAATGCATTCTTCATCGGAAAAGAAGCACTGTGGTAGAAAGGTGGAATTCTCCTGTCAGATGCCCATGCACAACTTAACTTGCCAGATTCTGCCCTCAGCAGTGTGAGCACACTTCAAACAGAAATGTACATGAATAGTTAAAGGAAATGCTGGATCCTACCTGTTGCCTCTTCTGTGAAGTAATATGTCTATAATGTTTATAAATTTTAATAACCCAGGCAGGGCTCTATCTTTCAATATTCAATATATGTTAGACTAAAGTTTGACATTGGGGTGTTCTCTAGTATCTCAGAGAATTTATCTGTCTACTAATATATGTCCATTAAAGGTGAATTATAGAATTCTCTTATCAGCCAGATATCAGCACATTTCTGGAGTTACATTAAAATCTTTATTTTGTGATGTTTATGTTTTCTTCACCTGACTGAAAGTGTCATGATCCTTACTGAAGGCTGCAAACATATCAACATTATGTTTGTTGATTCTGTCAAAGTGAATTGCATTTCTGTTTACCTTTTGTTTCCCAAGGCAATAATTGAAAAAAAAATTCAAAATGTTTCCTTTTGATGGTTTAAGATCCCTTGCTGATGAAAGTTGAATGAAATAAATAATTATCTTGAAAGTAGGTATATGAATATAAGCCCAATCTTTAAAATTGTCTCACCTATAAACTTAGTCTTAGAAAAAATGATTTTATCTCAATGCACAGATAATAATTGGAGGTGAAACAAAACAAAACCTAACATGGAAAATGCTATTTTTGCTGCCTGGACTTGAGTTGGAGACAGGAGACCAGACAGGAGACCAGACATTGCCTGAAACTCGATTTCCTATGATCCTTTGAGTTTTAAGTAGTTTTTGGTAGTTTGTTTTGGGGGTGCTGGGGAAATAAGGAAATAAAAAGAAAGCAGTTTCTGTTTGATGACAGAATTATTTATTCTAAATAACAATTTTCTTCTCCTTTGATTTCAGTTTACAAGCCTTGAGGAAGGAGAAGTCTCGAGATGCTGCTCGTTCCCGCAGGGGAAAAGAAAATTTTGAGTTCTATGAATTGGCCAAGTTGTTGCCTCTTCCTGCAGCCATCACCAGCCAGCTTGACAAGGCGTCTATCATTCGACTTACAATTAGCTATCTGAAAATGCGGGACTTTGCTAATCAGGGGGACCCTCCATGGAACTTACGAATGGAAGGCCCTCCACCCAACACTTCAGTGAAAGGTAAGATTTGGACCACTGTTCAGTCTGGAATACGGTGGTCTGTAGGTATTTCTAAGATGAAATGTTTACCATCATCCTTTCTTCTTTTCCTGCATATCAATCCTTTAAAGGGATACAAATGTGGAAATCTGAACTCTGCATGAGAAAGACACCATGTGAAGGTGAAACAAACCTCTTCTTTTTCTATTTTATTTTCAAACAGTCTGTCAGCCTACACATTCTATTATTTTATAGAGGAATTCACAGAAATGAGAAAGAAATATATTAAATATATTAAAATGTTTCTGGAGTTTAATTTATGTCATAGGAATATGTGTAAATTTTTCATGATGGGAGGAGTATGGGAATGTTTGCTAATCTGTGCAACTAATAGGTTGTTCCTTAAGTAAGCAAAGAGAGGAAGAGAGCAGAGTCCAACTTGAGCAGGCCTTTTTGATTACTGATTTTATTGATCACAAAAATCAATGCACGTATTAATGTTTCCTGTTTCTCTATAGACGTATTGCCTTAAAGTTATAAATATATACAGGTATTTCTTCTTCAAATCCTTGATGCAGTTACTCCTTAAACTTACTATTTTCTAAAAGTTAAGCCGTTTTTACTCTGATATTTAAGACAGTTATTTTGTAGTGTGTTCCTGAAACTCTTCGTAATTCATGACATTTTAAACATTTGAATATGCATGCATACATTTGTGATGTGTGTGTAGTGTTGGCCATTGATTTTCTGTCTTTAAGGATGTTATTCAAGGATGATGATCTAAAGGATCTCTTAGATTTTTTTGTCCCAATCTTGTAATCTAGGTCCTTTTTGAGTATAAAGTAAAAGTGGGTATTATAGGGTATTGTAATTCTACCTTGCCAATCAGCTTTAATAAAGTCTTGGTAGTCTTGGCTGTGGCAGAAAAATGTGCTGTCAGGGAGCTATAATCTTTTGTAAAATCTTGATTGAACTGAAGGGTCAAAGCACTAAATATTTACACTTCCATGTAGGAGCTATGATCATATATGTGTACATGCATGTGTAAATCCTTTACAGATTGAGCAGCCCTAATCTGAAAATCCTATATTTATATGCTGTATATTTTTCAAGTACAGATTTGGTGCCACTACTAGGAAATTCCATACAATGAGTCTGTATTTTATGTACAAAGTTATTAAAAATAGTATATAGAATTACCTTCAGGGTATATATAAAAGGTATGTTTGAAGCAAATGAGTTTTGTGTTTAGACTTGGCCTCCATCCCCAGGAAATCTCATTTTGTATATGCAAATATTCCAAAATCTGAAATCTGTCTGTAACACTTTAGTACCAAGCATTTCAAATAAGGGATATTCAGTCTGTATTTATTTAAGGATGGTATTATGCCTATGAGAGAAGGCAAAACAGAATTTAAATTGTAACACATTATTGTCATCTAGAGCAGTGGTTGCTAAACATTTGCTATAACAGGCCATGTAACTGTTAACCCTATTGTGTCAGCTTCACTTGCTTAGCAAATGCATAGTAGAATGGTAAAGCACGCTCCAGGGTGTATCTGGGTGGGTCATGGATGGCCTTGGGCGCCACATATGGCCCCTAGCCCATTCCTCTGGAGCACTGTTTTTCTGTTCTGCTTCCTGGCCACAATGAACTAAGCAGCTTTGATCTGCTACTCCTTTCTACCATGAGTTGTCTGTCTGTCTTGGAGCCAGTTAACCGTGTACTGAATCTCCTGAAAAATCTGAACTAAATTAAACTTTTACTCCTTTAAATTGTGATTGTCAGATATTGAAGATCAGTGATAGGAAAGCTAATACAAGCCACCTAGTAAATATTCTAGGCTTAGGAATCTGTGAGACCTATATAGCCTACAATCAGACATAGACAATATGTAAGTGAGAGAACATGGTTGTGTTACAAGTGTATTGTGAAACAGGTACCAGCCACAAAATTTGACACATAGACCAAAGTTTGCATACCATTGCTCTAAAGTATATGATATTGAAAGGCTGAGGAGGACATATAGCAGAGGTACCTTTCTAGGACATGATATCAATATAAGATAACCCACAACAAATAAATGAAGGCACATTCCTACTGTCCTTTTATAGCCCTCTTCCCTTTAGAATGTGGATATCAACTTGGTAAAAACTAGTGGATTTCTAGATATTAAAGTAGGAGTAGATTTTCCCAAATATGATGTGAATATAATTCCAGTAAGTAGATGGTATACTTATTTTTTCCATTCTTAAGGCATAGACTGTATTAATGTTTATTTGAAATAATGCAAGTTGAAAGAGTAAGTTCCACAAGTTAGAAAAGTGTCAGTATAAAAATATTACTATTCAATTTGAAATAAATTGACAGTCTGGACTTGCATTAATTTGTTGAACATAATTACCCTTTAGTTCCATTTTGAAAGAAGTTTGCAGTGAATAGGCTTTCCTGGTAATAATGGCAACTAGAGTAGAAAAACATGATGCCTCCATTGTTTCTTCATTTTTCTCTTATGTAATAGTCTAGCATACGTTTAAAATCATAGGCTTTTACACATGCAAATTTTCTGGTCCTGTATTTCCCATATTTTACAGGTAAATACTTTCCAATTAGGTGCTAGCAGATCTAAGATAAGCACCCTTTCCTTTCTATCTGGTATTCTGTTGTGTCCACCACATCATTTGTATAAATGGTATTTGTTTTATATCACCATCACCAAACATTCTAAATGAAAATTTTCTAAGCTTTAGACTTTGACTGATAATTCATTTTTACTCTGAGGCCTTCAATCAACTCAGTTCTATAACGATTTATTATGGATAAGCTGAATAAGAACAGAAAACATGACTTCTTTTCCCAGATGTATTGCAGTCTATGAAAGGGCATGGGGTTATTGATAAAAGAAAAGAATTTGTGATGAGTGTTTAGGAGCTAGAAAGTGATAAGAGATTTTATTGTAAAATTTCAACCAGATAATAGCAGAGCATGTATGTTGGTACATGTACACTTTCAGTATTAGTAAGCTGGTGATAGGTTAGAACAGAAGATGTGAGCATAGTTAGTACATATTGCCTCATTTTGGCTCTCAAATGCTGCTGGGAATGCAGTAGGTACTTTCTGTAAGATGGTTCTGCTGTACAGTATATGCACAATTTATACTCCAGTTCTTTAATGCAAAACTGCTCCTCATTCTGATCAAACATTCATGAAACAACAACATCAAAAGAAATTCATTTTAATTTATTAGGTTTTCTATGTTGTGCCCTTGAAGAAGTTCATATGGATAAACAAGCTTATATAAATAACCTGCAGCATCATGTAAAGTGCAGCTCATAACCCAACAATAAAAACAATAGACATTATACTTTGTGCTTCTCCCAAGTAGTCTCTTGAATAAACCTAAAAGCATTTGAAAATTTATATAAAAGTACTCAGGCATTTTTATGTGATGAGTTGATCATGTTAATAATTAAATTTCAAAGCTTAAATTTAAATTTGTCTCATACAACTATATAGAAGTTTAATCATTTTAATTTACTGCTTCAGAAAGGTCTTTTTCTCTGGCCAGTATTCACATTTTTTCTTAATAGTCTATAAACATTGATGAGCTTGTTTTCTGATGCCTGTTGTATACAGATTATTACAAGTTATGCTTGCAGAAAGAGCATTCAGGTGACAGTGTGTAATATGTCCCAAGTCAATTACTTCATGGAAATGATATGTTAAACAATTGGAAGGTAACAGATAGTTTTTCCTATTATTTTAGGAATATCTGTATTGTTATAATACAGATCAACTCTACAATGAACATTATGCATTATTCAAGAAATGACCAGGCATTCTCAGCAGTGTTTCAGCTAAATAACTGATGATGGTAACCTTTAAAGAAATCTCATTGTGGGGACTGTTGGTAAATCATTTCTCCATTCATAGTAATCTCTATTTAGAGGCTATCTAGAAACCATTATATCTTTTATTAATCTTAAAAGCAATAGCTGCTGATTTGACATTTGCTAAAACTAGATAAATTTTCTGTCTTTCTAGTATCACAGACTTCTGTCAATTTTTGGAATCTATCTACTGCAACTCAATGCAGAAATATTTAACATTATTAGAATAAGTTTTCTTTCAATTTTAACATTGTAGCTTTTAAACAATAATCAGCCTGTGTGTGTGAGACTGTCAACAAAGCTAAAATAAGTAAAATATAAAATATTCTTTGCACTTGGAAAAGAACCATTGAAAGCTATATACAGTAGCTAGTGATTAAAATTGACTGAATTCATTGGGGAAGAACTTTTTCATAGTCTTTCATTATTTTAGTCATCTTTTGTAGATTAAGTTGTGGTTATTTCTGAGAGTACAGATTTGTGGGTTATTATTCAAGTAGCATGTCTATCCTTTGTCCTTAGTAAAAGACCAGGCTAGTATTAAACAATGCTAATTAATGATTATTTTAAAATACTCATGTATGATAATTGACTATAGGTTATCCTGTAGAGTGACTTTGAGTCACTAATACAGTGGTTGTCCTCAGACCATTGGTAACAGTTTATAAAATGGAGTCTGTTTCAGTAGAAAAGTAGAGGTTGCAGGACTGCCATAGTGAGTGTTTTTGGTCTAAGCAGCTTGATGGTCTTCCACTTATGTATGGTTCAGACATTTTACTGTGCTGATTCACATTTATTTCTACCAATTGATTTTCATGTTTGAGGGTAAGTGTCACATTCCTTCTTACCAAAAACCTTGTAAAAGGAAAGCTCTTAGAATTAGTATATGTTTGTGTGTCCTTTTTGTTTTTTTAACATAGGCAAAGGATGAACCATACCCTTAGAAGCTGAGCAAAAGCTTTCTGTGGTCCTAGGAGAGGAGGATAATAGATGGAAAATTGGTTTGTGCTTATTTACTTGTTTGGTCAGCTTTCCTGTTGTTGGAACAAGATGCCTAATACAAAAAACTCAAGGAAGGAAATGGCTTATTTGGCTTAGAATTTCAGAGGTTTCAGTCCGTGTTCAGCTTCCTCCCAGATAAAATATCATGGTAAAAAGGCATGATGAAGTAAAGCTACTCATATTATGGCAGCCAGGAAGCAGAACACTGAGTAATAGGACCAGAAGACATATACCCTCCAAAAACATTTTCTCAATGACCACTTCCTCTAACTGGGCCTCACCTGCTAAC